CTATCTTTGCATTCTTTTCTCCAATTCTTCATAAACATTGAGTTTTACCTAAAAATGAAATATAACACAAGTTAGGTACTATTTTATCTAAAGAACAATAAAATATCATTTAGAATCTCGAATAAGTGTAGAAACTACACTTATCAATTTTCACCAAGCCAATCAAATCTACCTCTTGTGCTCATATATAATCTTTGGCCTCTCTCTACTTCTCGACTTTACTGATATTTCTAACATTCCATATAAGGCCTTCATGTGGAACTATTTTGTTATTATATTCCCTCGTACCTTAGCCCTGCCTTTGATTTTTCGTCTTGTGCTTAGTCTTTTGTTCTTTGTCCTTGAATTTTCCCCCTTAGAATTCAACATCTCTGATATGTTCTGTTCGCCCACTCTTTTTTTAGGGTGATTTGAAACAGGGGAAGATCTTCCACCTTTAAGGTCATAACACCAGTACCTTTAAAGGTGAAGGCATATCTTCCTGTGACCACCTTTCCTACCAAAAAGATAACCCAAAAAAATTCAAGTTTTTTCTAGACTAGACCTTCGAGATTTTGTTGGGGTTCATACATGCATTGATCCGGTCGAAGAACCTACTTCAGAACGACTACTCCGCTTAGCATATCTTACTGTCCTCCCCGAGTTCTATATGCTCGGTTCCACAATCAATCCCAAATTCATCTATTTAAGGGAGGTCCAATTCCGCGCTCTTCTAATTGCTTTAAAGGGTTCTTAAACCCTTTACTTTACATCTAGGGTTCTTCGAAGCCCTATTCTGTATATTCAAGAACATAGCTATCAAATGGTCGACTGCGAAACCTATCAGGGTTGAAAAAGAGTATAATTTAAGCCCTCGATTGGCAATCACTCAACGAACTACTTTTACGATGTCTGTCACATAAAGAAACTCAGCAAGCCTTGAAAGAAGTACGTGCTTTACTAATAGGGGCATAGTAATAGTGGTTTGCTGGGTTGGTTTTGCTCTCTACCTTCTCATAGGGGGATGGAAACAAGAAAGGTCCACTGGAGTGGAAACCAAAGGACAGGCTCTAGAATCTGTGATCAATCCGAAAAACCGCTGCCAAATACGATTCTGCTCTCCCTGCGTACTACCAAAAAATGAGATTCTTGCCTGACTTTCTTTCAGCTTAAGAAGGCTGCATTGAGAATGAGGGTCACTTCGAAACTCTAGGGAAATGGGCATTTTAGGGGGAGATCTAAAAGCTCTCCAAAGTATTGCGGAGCCTTCGGACGTGAGAGGGTCTTTTAGCTTCCTTAAGGTCGTATGAAGCTTAACTCGCTTTAGCAGCCACATGATGATTCAAGTTTGTGGTAGCCATACTAGCCGAGCGAAGCAGTGGCGAAGGTCAGGTATTAATGCAAGTGCGCGGTGAGCGTGGTAGCCCCCTCGGGCATGCTCTTTGTCCAAGCAAGTGAATAGCTAGTGAGGGCCGGAATGGAATATCGTATATAGTATAGAATTAGATCTAAAGCTCGTTGGAATTGGAACAACCAAGGGATGAGTGACCACAAGATCCACTTAAGCGTTCGACATGTATTTAGCTTAAAACATGTTTCTGTGGCTGAGAAGCCTTAAGCTCTGCCCCCATTACTCACACTCACCTATTAATCTAGAAAAAAAAAGCCATTTCTCCTTAATATTAATACTAATATAATAATTAAGGGCGTCTAATTAACTTATCCTTACGCGGGCTCCCTTTTTCTTATTCCCCGCTCTGCCTCTGCCCTGGTAAAGTTGCCCCTCTTTCTTCAACCTGAAAAGAGCTAACTAAGCCCGTCTTCCTGCCTATTCTCTTATCCTTCTAGGCGAGGAGGGACATTTCTAAATAGTAAAATGTTAGTTATAAAAATGAATTGAACTCCTATTATAAAAAAGGGTTTATTCTAAGCACGCTTCCAGGGAAAAATCTCTTGACCCGGACTCTTTCACTCCTGGCCTTGCTTAGTTTACCCTGTCCTATCGTATCGAATAAAGTTTCCTAACCTAGCATATCTTGGTGTCTTCTACCGAACCGAAAGAGAGAATCGATCTAAAGGCAGCTTAAAACCATCGCAACCTCTTCATGGTCACATCCCCCTTTTCGACGCTTTTCATGTTGTTGCATGTGCCTTACGGTATCCCGATCCAGTCCTCTATGCTTCCTTTACTTCTAAAAAGGCTAAACTANAAAAAGGCTAAACTAAAGGAAAAGAAAATGGTGAAAGACTTGCAAGACTGGCGAGCAGAGGGAAAGAGTAATACAATAAAGGATTGTCCATTACTGCCAACAATGGAAGGCTTACACGATCGGGAATGGGGGTAAACCTCACATTAACTCCATCTTTTTACCACTCCGTGGGTGCTCTAATCATTCTTAAACCCTTATCTTTTTTGTGGATTGAAATTCCACTACAAAAGTCTCTTTCTTAGCCTAGTGGCTTTGTAAGATTTGAATTCTTTCTCTCTTTTTTTCTTACCTAGCTGGTGTAATTAAAAAACCACTTTGCTCATAGGAACTACTGAATGCTTTTGAGGATTTTTCATAGGACGTAAATCATTTTCTTTTTGTTTTCTCCTAGGTTTCATTTTCTCTCCTCGAATCTCTCAATCAGAAGCTAGAGATGAGAGATTGCATATAAGAAGTAGAACTCACTCGAATAGAGAGAGTGTAGGCTGACTCACAGGTCAGGGGCTAGTCCAGCAAACAGGGGTTTCAATTCCCACAGAGCAAGTGGGAAATCAAAAATCCTATCCCCTCGAAGCAGCTCTATGGCTCGCTTCAGGTCTTACACTCGCTGGAGTTAAATCAAGTCATTTCATATGTACTTCTAGGGCTGATGATAGTACTAACTTCCCTTGAGACTGATATTGTTTTATGCTAAATTGATTATTTTACTAGAGTTGGAGTTAATGAAACTTAATTTGTTGATGCTTGTATAATCTACAGAAATTTCGGTGTCAATTATCACATTGTTGACTTACAAGTGTTGCTTTCTTGAAAGAGTTCCTGTGGCACTCCCAAGCCTCCGTTTGGCTGCTTTTGATGGTGGCAATGCCATTTTTCGTGAGGAACGTCATATATAGGTGATGTATGGAGGTAATAGCCATAATCTTTCAAGACATGTCTTCCCAAAACTCCATGATAGGCAACAATCTATGATAATGAATTCCATATAATGATGTGCCACCAAGTGATGTTTTCCCATTTTGCCGCAAGAGTAATCTTACGCTATAGTCTATGAACCCATAGAGTAAAAAGGTCATGAGGATGAGCTCTTGGGCCACTAGCATCTAGTCGTACCTAGCTCCAAAAATAATGTTGACAGAACTTTCGTTGTCCATTAACATACGCTTTAAGCCATTGCGAGCTATAATTACCCTTACTAGAGCATCACAACAAGGATAGTTTACACACACCATATCTTCCTTGAAGAAGGTGATTGTCTTGACCGTTCTTGCACTAAAGGGTCGATTATTGACTATCAAGTTAGCCATTGGGGTCTATAGCCTGCCTAGAGTAGTTCTTCCGGGCATTTTTTGGACACTCTACCCATGTAAGGCCCCTTAAAGATTGTGTCTATATTTCGAATTGGTGCATTATCATAATTGGTCGATGGATCTCTTCATTTCCTTTGCCCATTTTTGGGTCTTTCCCTCTCCTCCTCGTCTTTTCTGTAGCAACGTGGATTATCTCTAGGAGTATGTCTCGCCTCTTCTTGCCTAGGTTGTTCGACTCTAATGTTGATTGTCATTTGTGATACAACCGTGACTCGTAAAGTACTTGTGAATGAGAATGCTAAACATTTCAAGCATTACTTCGAAACCAGAGAGTGAAAAACATGTAACGTGTTAAATAAAACGTGAAAATGTAATAGATTAAGTTGAAACTCACTAATCAACTACTAACATGTCATTAAAGGAAAAGACTTAATTACATTCATGACTTCATCAAAATCTATAAATATGTATAATTTGGGAACAAAAAATGATATAAAAAGTTGAATACACTCCTTTCAAATAATCATTTCCCAAACTCTCATTTTCAGTAAAATTCAGTGAGTCAGAAATAAAAATTCTGGTTGGATGAGAAATTTATTTATCTCGATTTTGAGTTCAACAATGGTAAAAATGTACCCCACAAAGTAAGCACCAACAACTATTCACGCCTCTCCAGTGGTTATAAACATCCACGTTTTTAAACAAAAACATGCACTTAAGATTTGAGGATCTTTTCTATTTGAATAATTATAGACAAGAATCAATTGGTCACTTAACTTTCAGCTAAATATTAATTGGTAACTTATCTTCAAGTCATTTCAATTCAATCACTCAACTTACATTTAGTTTCAGTTTGGTCATTCAATTCTGAAGAGATTCTTGCCAAAATCATTGATCTCCCTTCAATGTAGGCCATATGAACATATGGGGATGCCCAAGCATTGATTGAGGACGTTGACTTTTAACGTAAAATTATGAATAAATCTATATGTACATAATTATTGTACATAATGGATTACATAGACCCATGTGGAAGAAATCCAACCGTGGATGTGAAGTGTGAAAAAGACAAATTGCATACTACCAATTGATACGCGCCACATGTCAATTATGTAATGTATTATGTAAATGATTATGTACTTGTAGCATGGTCCCTAAAATTATATCATGTCAGTTTTTGGTATCCATGTCATTCTCTCTGAATTTAATTAATGGTTGTTAACAGAGTCACTTTAAGAGGTATCTTAAAATACGATTAGGGATGAATTGGTGACAGAACCAAGAGGCAATATACATCTATGCAACCAGTGCATTTTCAAATTCAAAATAAGAACGGAGAATCAGACTGATTTAGTTTTGATTATAAAAACAAAAATAATTCACTTTTACATAAAACTGAACCAAACCGGTCAGTTTGGTCTAGTTCCACTGATTCTGAGTAATTTTATCCACCCATAATCTGAAACCCCAGTAACTGTTCAGGAATATGACGCTTTCTAAATTATGTTGCCCTAATAAGAAACAACACTAACCCCACTATGATAGAAAGAACCACCACCAAAATAGCCACCATCGGGTTTAAATCAGTTGATTTAGCAGATTTTCTGTTTTTGCTCCCTCCACTTCTCTTTGAGACAATATTATCTGGTTTAGCTGCTGAAGAGTCGTGAGCTGCAATGTCCCAAAAGGATTTGGTGGACGAAGTTATCAAAGGGGGGGCTTCGTATTCTGGCTCCAAAATTTCAGAAGCATCTGTTGGGGCTTCCATGGACATCAAGTCAACACAATTATCTTTCACAACCTGACAATAATAATATAAGAGGTAAGTTACATCTCTTCAGTAATACTACATAACGTTCCTAGTACATGATCAACGGCATAGCCAGAATAAAATAGGCAGGTTCGAACATATTAAGAATTGGTCTAAATCAACAACTTTGCTAAATGCCAACAGTTTTTAAATTTTCGCAACTGCAATAAAACCATTTATAATCATCTATGCCTGTTAAGAGTGTTAAATATATCAAAGGTCCACGAGCGACCATATGCTCCAGTGGACTAAGCTAAAAAACTACTTAATAATAAAAGTTGGAATAACAAACCTCAACTGTCTCGGAGGGCTCTATGTAATCACAAATGTATGTACCCTCCAGCCATGGAATGAAAACTCTTCGAGGAAATGAAATGTTGTATTGTTTTCTGTTCAGGAAAAGATCATCAACAGTTCCAGTCAGTTCAAATAGCCCAATAGCTACCTCCAAGCAAAAGATATAACAGCATACATTAGGGAAACAAGTGTTGGATTGAGCCCCATACCCAATCTGAGAACTAAGTATAATGAAATTATTTTTTTATTTCAGTAAATGTAAACTACTTAGGTTTGAATGAAAAAAAATTATAGATGAATAGAAGATGTCCTAGAAACGTTTTTCACAAGTCCCAAAAATGCTTTAAAACCTTCAAAAAATTACTTTCAGAAATTTTTCCAGAGACTATACTACCAATGAGGCGTAAAAAAAAAGTTCTTTGTGGATTTTTTTTAATCAAATATTCTACACTGATTATTCTATTAGGAAATGATATAGCATGTAATGAACCAAGAATGAATGAAATAAAAATCAAGGAACCACAGTAGCATCATGTCTAATAAAGCACGCAAATTGTATTGATTTGAGAAATAAATGCACATTGTCCCTACGGATTCTATTAGGAAATGATATAGCTTGTAATGAACCGAGAATGAATGAAATAAAAATCAAGGAACCACGGTAGCATCATGTCTATTAAAGTATGCAAATTGTATCTGATTTGAGAAACAAACGAACACGCAACCCTGCGAGGCTCACACTCAATACACTAGACATGGTTTGTAAAACATAAAATTCCTGATAATGCATGCAAAAGTAAGGGATGTGATATAAGCAGTCCTTAATAGTTCTTTTTTTCTCGTGTCTCTCTTTCTTTTTGGTTTAGAAACATTCTATATGTAGCATGAGTGTGTGGAGATATTTTAGTTAATTCAGCACCACTTAATTAAAAACGAATTAACAAAAAGATTCATTAGAAACAAGCCATGGTAGGAGGTATAGTATCCATAACTATAGACATCTCAGTAATTAAATGACATCAAAACCTGTTACTAACTAATTTAATGATTATGGAACACAAGTAAGATCCTCTTTACTTTGTAAGAGAAAATATATAGTTAAGCCGGAAATATGAAACCTCTGTGCTTCAGGGTTAAGGTGGGGAACTGGTTTCTTTATTGATATCTGACTGCTTGAGTCCTTGCCACTATCAGTGATTGATTCTGACTCTCTGTCAGCCTCATCACATAGCATTTCCACTCTACTCAGCAAACTCTTTATGATGTCTTCCTAATCAGAAGAATACCCAAGATCATAAAGTTGAAGAGAGATGAGCAAAAGTAATCAACCAGTACAAAACATGATAACGTAAGGGATAACAGAATAAAATTGATAGGAACCCGCAATCTCTGTTCATTGTGTAATTGTTAGTGTGTCAAGGGGTTAGGCGTATATTGGGTAGATTGCAAAATAAGTGTGGCATAGCTCGCTATAAATAGAGGGAGGGAGTTATATTTTAATTTTGGCAAAAAGAAGGGAATGGGTTGGGGAGCGCCTCTTGAATGCTCGACAACACTTTGTATTTCATTAGTTCGTAATTCAAATCCATATCCAAAAACTGTTATTCAGTTTCATTTCATACATTGATAAAACACAATTTCACCTTGTGTCATGAGTACAAATTAGTATGCATTGAACAAACCTGCTCTTTTCATTCTCCTTTGCCTCGATCAACGGACAATTTACCAAATTTATGCTTGAACCTATCATTTGATATCAGAGCACACCTAGGAACATGCTGGTGCAAAGAAAATGGCAGAAGATCGGTCGGAGATTTGGGACTGTCAGGAGAAGAGCATGAATCGGATAATGGCGATGATTGAATCTATGCAGCAAAAGCTTGACAATGAGAGAAATTGCGAAACAGATCCGATGGGGAAGGTGAAGGGCCAGACCTTCAGACTAAATTATACGACTCCCGATAGGTGGGTAATTAGTGCAGAGCTATATTTCTCCATTAATAGATGGAAAAGAGATTATGCTTTTGGTGTGATGAGGAAAACTTGGTGGGTCATAAGCGCAAAAGAATAAATAAATATTAATCTATTAGAGTCCGTTTGATTGCAAGGGTTGAAAATGGTTGAAAGACAATGTTTTATAGGGAAAAGATTTTCCTAAAAAATGATTTACTGGGAATTGTGTAATTAAGTGTGTTTGACTGGTATAATTTTCCACCTGAAAAATTTTTAACAAGTTTGGATATTTTTGTTCACATTTGGCTTTATTTTACATGGAAATTGTCCATTAAAAATGAATTTTTTTTTTTTTTTTTTACAATTGGTTATGAAATTTGTTAACATTGACAAAAAGTAAAAGATAAAAAATAAAGAANAACAAAAAAATAAAAAAAAAAAGAAAAAAAAAATTATTTCCTAAAAAATCATTTTTTTCATCAAAATTTAGTGTTCGTTTGACTTTGTTTTACATGGAAATTGTCCATTAAAGTAAAAATTTTTTCAATAATTGGTTATGAAATTTGTTAGTATTGCAAAAAAAAAAATTTTTATGGAAGAACCTGGGAAAGCCTTTTCCACAATTTCAAGGAAAATGGCACGTGGGAGGGGGATTTCAAGGAAAATGGCACGTGGGAGGGGGAGAGGGAAAACTTTTTCTTGGCTAAATTTTACCCATCAAACAACTCTTTTGCGTGGAAAAGGAAAATGTTTTTCATTTTCCATGGAAAATAGAGGCTATAAAACATAGCCTTAGTATGCATGGTAAACGATGAATTGGAAAGAAGTAAATGTGGAACACCATTATGACACTTTCCTTTTGGTACTCCTACATGCACCTATAAATACCACAGCTAAATCATGCCCACATTGAGGAAGTTAAATTCTCCTGTACGTATTGACTACGATTCTCTTCAAATTATAAAAGTATAGTCATATGTTGTATATTAAATCGTTTTTCATACTTCAAAATACAGAATTCAATTTATGAATATAATATGGGTCGTGTATATTTAAGTTCAACGCACCAGAGTTTAGAAGTGCTACGCACAGGAATTATAGCAACAAAGTACGGTTCTTAATTCCCGTCTCCCTATGTAATGATTATGTAAAGGAATTATGATCACTTAAGTTCAATTTCTAATCCCCATATCTCCTTATCTACGTTACGAATTCCTAAATTTTAAATATGAATTACGATTTATGTAGCTCACTTATTGGGATTTTATCCTATTATTTATGATTTTTCTCCTTTTAGGTAATTTAGGTTTAAGGCATTGGAGTTTGGAACCAGCCACTGGTGGTAGAATAAAGAGGAAATAATTTATGAATTTTATAATTAATACAGTATTTTATTTTTAATTATTGTAACTTTGGAAATAATTATCTTTTACAAAAATTCTATTTTTACAATACGTGTTTTTTTTTTTTTATAACCGTGAATGTTCGGGCCAGCTTGCGCGCACCTCGACTAATTCCAAAGGGCCCTGAAGTTTACGGCAGGGTACTCACCTCAGTGGCCTTGAGGGGACTCGAACTGATGACCATTGAGAAGCAAACCCAAAGCCTGACCAATTGAGCAACCCCTCACGTTAATTTTACAATACGTGTTTAATGATTCAAAGGGTAAATTTTGGGTCGTTACAGCTTGGTTCATAAAACAATAGGCCAAATGACCCCTAACTAGGACTACTGGCATTCGTGAGAAGGAATACGAGGGTAATTAACCAAACAATTGAGCAGAACATTATTTCTAGCAGAGGTAGAGCAGTCATTATTAAAGCAGTTTTACAAGCAATCCCAAATTATGTGATGAGCATTTTAAGGCTGCCAGAATCACAATGTGCTGACCTCCAATCATTGGTACTTCGCTTTTGGTGGGATCAAAAGGGAAAAGGACAATTGTGCGGATTTTTAGGATAAAATTTGTCTTCCTAAATGGATGCTTGGGATTTAGAGACTTGATAATGTTCAATCAAGAATTAGTCTCGAAAGAAGCATGGTGTTTACTGAATATTAAGACTTACTTGGCTGCAAGTATTTTGAAAGCTAAATATCATCGGAAGGTTAATTTTTTTCTATCAACTAAGGCAACTGGGGGACTCTTTCTTTTTGTGGAAAAGTGTGTTATGGAATCAAGAACTTTTCATCAATGGCTATGATGGCGGGTGGGAAATGGAGAATCAATTCAAATTTTCAATGGTCCACGGTATTCATGGCCTCTCTTTTTTGCCGATATCACCTCACCAGGATTTTGTTCCTTCGGTGCAAGAACTGATTGGAGAACAAGGATACTAGGATATGGGAATGCTGATTGCAATTTTCTTTTCGATCAACACGGAACAAATACAGGCCATTCCATAAGGCATTCAGAATTGGAACAACAGAATCATTTGGCACTATAAGAATAAGGGGCTCTATACAGCCCGTAGTGGGGTTTCATTGCTCGTTAAACAAACAAATTGATTAAGTTGGTCCTAACCTTTCAATCTCTAAGAGCTGGTGGACTGCATTTTGGAAGTTAGCTCACTCCCAAAATTGGGATTTTCTCATGGCTGTTTCTACGAAGCATTGCCTACTAGAGCAAATTCGTGGAGCTGTGATCAGGGATGGTGGAGGAAAGGTTATTTCTGCAAGGCCAAAGTTTAAGTGGAGGATTTCTTTCCCAAGGATGCCAAAGCTTTAGGATTGCGGGGGGATTGGACATAGCAAAAAGGGCTAGATTAAACATTTCTACGGTTGAGATTGAGCCCGTGTTTGGCCTCCATTTTTTAGAACTAATTTTTTTCTAAATCCATTTTCAACATCATATTTCATAGGACCCACAATTTTTATCAACTTTTCAACTACAAATGTCACCAATTTTCATCAAAATCTACTAAAAATCTTATGTTTCTCCAAACCAAACAAAGACCGACTCTCTTCAAGTGGTGCAAAGTTAAAAGGAATTTTAACTTAGCTCCAAAGGCATCTAATATGTTTGATATTGTAGCTCTAGTGCACGATGTGGGTTGTGATTCTTGTCACTAAACTCCAGGAGAAGGAAATAAGTGGCCCACAAGCTTGCATCCTTCGCTACCTTTAGCCGAGTCTTATTCAACTGGGTATATTGTTTTACTGCTCTTCATCTTGTCCGTGGTTCACGACGACTTAGTTAAATTGTTGGGTTTGTGTCCAAAAAAAAAAAAAAAGAGAAATGTCTTATGGGTTATAAGATTCTGAAAAATTCGCATTTACATATTTACACCTCAACAATTCAAATGGAGTAAAAAATGAGTTATTTATTCGTTAAAAATTGTTGGCAGGAGTCAATCAACACCAAACTCGTCAGAAAGGAACCATCTGTATAGCATATAACTAGTCACAGTAAAATTTGTGCAAGATCAATGTGTTTTATGCTATATGAAAATATTTAAAGCTGGAATGGGTTGCACATTTAACAATATAAATTTTGTAGAATGCACAAAAACTATCTAACAAAACATCAAGCCCATGTTTGGTTTAAAGAAAAAAATCTGATTTTTTAAATAAATTTTGACAAAAGTTCATGGAATGTGTAGTCGAAAAGTTGGGGATCCCATAAAATGTGTTAAAATTAATTTTTGACTTTGATTTAGATTTTAATCAAAATTTCTAGCTGAACCAAACAAGAGCCAAGATGTTTTCCCAATAGCAGAATAAATACAGAGTTATGTCGCAAAACTGTATTACCTTTATGTCAGCCAAAGCTTGTGAAACAGGTTCCTTCGAATTCAAGTAAGCAAGAGAACAAACGGAGCCACTAAAGAGAACAACACCGAAAACGTCTTTCTGGCTGCATGCTTTACACAAAAAGATAGTTTTATTAGTAACTAAGAACATTGCAAGTAATGCATCAAAGTAAATAGAAGCAAAATTTAAATACACCTTCTACGTATTTGTCTTGCAAGAGAGGTAGAAGGAATTCAACTTCATGAAAATCATATGATGCATACTGTTCATCCTGAATCACCTAATACCGATGCAAAGCAGAAAAGGTAAAATATCATATAAAACTCTTTCTGAGCAGAAACTTGCATTCATAGGATGAAAATATTAATAGCACAAGTGAATAATTGCTTTTTAATTTGCAAGCCAAGCAAAATAGACGCTACGTGATCAAAAGAACAAGATAAAACCAAAAAAAGTAGTATTGTTGAACCCCAGGGAAGGGTATTATCAGTAATGTTTGCCTCTAAGCCTACTTATAGTCTCCCAAGGACCAAAATTGATCTAAAGATACATGTGCTACTCTAGTATGTCTTTGATTTCATGACATGCCCTTTTTAAATGGCAAGAAAACGTGCTACAATAAATGTCACCAGCCTTTAGCTACAGAATTTCTTTTTCTTTCCTTGCTTGGCAAATAGTGTTAAAGTAGTACACAATAAACAATAATAAGATTATGAAGAGAGAGGAAGAGAAATAAAGAAGAGGGAGAGAATTTAGAGGGACGAAATATATGTTTGTAATCAATATCAAAGTGAACATACTACAATGAATAAGTCCCCTTTATATAGGGCAAATGAGCTATATCAAAAAACTTTTAACAAACTAGAACCTTAAAAAAAAAAAAAAAAAATTAATGTAATCTAAACAAACATAATTTGAAATAAATTCTATCACTATTCTTATCTCTATTTCACTTCAATTCTCCTCGATTGAGAGAACTCGATTTCGATGAAATAGACTACAACTTCTTAATCAAGGGGACGATCTTTCTTCCTGACCAATAACAAAACCGAGACACGATGACAACTAAATTTGCAAAACATCCTCAAGAATATAACCTGAGGGAGACGATCTTTCCTTTTAACCATGTACTGATAGTAAACTTTGAAAAGTAACATATGATGCAATCCATCATAAAAACATCAATTGACTACACATAACGAGGAGCACAAGGGATTAGAATTGTATGTTCAATGTGTCGTGATAAAGAAATTGCTATATTAATAACATAACTTTCATTCAAGTGTAATGACCAGTTAAATAGATTATATTTGTGTTAGATCCAAAAACATTTTCTTAGCTTGTTTAGAAAATTGAACTAAAGAAACACGCAATATAGCATAAAATTCACCGTCAAAGAATCCGAGCCTATATTGCGTATCAAAAGCAAGCTCATAAGTATAACGATTCAAAATAATGTCTCTTAATCTCGACATGAAAATTAGGAAAATTGACAATAGAGTATTGAGCTAAAGCAATATGACAGCACTTAGTAGACAACCCAATGTCGATTGGAAAAGTATGCAATCAAACAATGGCCTTGACAAAAAAAGTGCAACTCGAGGAATATCATGCAGTTGAGGTAACGTAATTCGCACATAAGAGTACGCAATAACAATTTTAGCACGAATGCAAGGACATGTAGAATGTTTAGCTTAGGTGGAAACACCAAAGGTAATTCCTCAACTATGTCATGGTCCAATACGTTGAAAACAGGTGTGAGAGGGGACACGAGACAAAAATTCTTAAAACATTGATCCTCGCTATCAAATTATTCAATAAGTTCAACAATATAATCCACATTTTCTACTTCATGATGAGGACTTACATAACCAGACTTAAGAGATGTTTGTCGCGACTAGGGTAGTAATCTAACCTGTCGATAATCTTCATCTAAAGATTGGAGTGCAGGAATTTCGTCAACATGGTTTCAAGATTTAAACCATTGAGAAACCTAGACGTCGTATTGAGAGGAGTCATACATATCACAAATGTGTATAGCTCTTCGTAGTGGGCTAGATATTTGCTAACGGTGTACATACCTTGCCTATAGTGCAAAAAGAATTGACCTAGCAATTGAGTTCGATAATAGACCTGATGCATCTTGGAAAGTCTATTTGAGTAGTAAAAGAAATTACATTGACCATAATATAATTTTCCATTATCTCATTTGAATTTTCCATTATCCCATTGATTCATTTTTGGTTAAATTGATTTTTGTAAACGGAAAAGTCCAATTTTCCTTAGTGGTCGTAATTTTCTTTATTAGTCGTGTTTTTAGCCTATATAAAGAGATCCATTGATTGTAATGAGACACGCTTGAATATTGAAATAAAACTACAATCTTTCTCTCATTTCTCTCTTCCTACTTTCTTCTCCTTTACTGTTCTCGTTATTGCAATCGGCATCAATTTGGTATCATCGCTCCCCTCTAACCACAAAGTTTCCATTTCACGTGTGACGGTTAAGTATAGTGTTTTCACAACAGCCACCTCAACCAACTCACATAACCAACCACTACCCACCACAATCAACAAACCATTAACACCACATTTACCAACCTGCATATTCCTTCTCAAGGTCAACAGCAGCCTGCGTGTCTCTTCCTTTTTAATTTTCTTATAGTTCATGAAAAAAAAAAAAAAGAAAAGAAAACAGAAAAGAAAAAGGCAGAAGTGTTCCACTGCCTTAGTTTCCCTCATTTGCCATCCTTGGTGTCCGCGTTAATCAAAAGCAATTGCATTCCAATTGTGGTATCTGTTAACCATCTGTCGAAGATCAAAGAACTCTAATATTGCAACTGCCATATATAAATATTATATTCTGGTTGACCTTTTATTCAAACCACCTCCCCAAAGCCCAAACCAAATGAAAACAAGAGCCCACCTACAACCACCCATTACTTAGATAAAGCCAGCCCGATAATTAAAATATCCTACACCACTAGCCATCAGCTCATTACCACCACAATACCCAACCCACTTAACCCATCCACAATATTGACACTTCCCAGAAAATTAACCCACCCACCGCCGGCCTCCCATTCTCAACACTGAATCCACCAACCTCTTTCTGCCTGCCCACGAATATCCTATACTCAACTTTCAAACCATCATCCACTCCACACCGCTTTCTTCCTTTCCCCAGCTGCTGTGCGAATTCCTGCTATTTCTCCGCCTCCCACCGCCTTGCATCACCGAAGTGGCGCCTCCCCTCTCACACCATCAACACCTCTGCAAGCATTGTCTTCTCCACCGAGCTATTTACTATCACTGTTGCCCTACCTGACTGTCGCGATTCAGTATCCTCTATCACAATCAAACTCCTGTGTCTCTGCCTTGTTCTGTCAATTGCCGGTTCGTCATTCAATTTCCAGTCAACCACCCGTCAGTGCACTTCTACCTGCAATCTCTTCACCTACTTTCGAGTCTTTTCCAGTGCCTCTCCATCATTCTTACTATTCGTTTTATCTCATCCTATAGAGTGATATAGCATTGACCTAAGAAAGCAATGTTATGTAAAAATGACTTCCAATAACACCTAGCAGCACCGATAAATGACATTCAACGACAGTCATTTATGCTTTGAAATTTGTACATAAACTATTCAAGATTATAAAGCCGATCAAGAAATAAGTTGAAACCAACAAGACCATTAAAGTCCCAGGATTGTAATATAACTTGCCTAGAAAATAAACGTCCCCAACATAGTCCCTAGACGAATAATTATAATTATTAAGGAAAAGGGAAGGCATACCGTGTTAACAACCTAGGGGCTTGGTGTAGTTAAAAGAGTTGCATGAATTTTTCGAAAAAACCTGCTAGTAGAGGAAAACCTTTCAAAAATTTCATAAAATAGGCTTTCTAGAGATCCCTGTTGACCAATCCTCGGTATATGGTGTTAAGTGAGTACCAAGACAAATCAAGGTATTTGAGAGAATTGCAAATAATCAATTAGCACATGGAAATATGGGAACAAAACTCAAAAACCGATTCAAAATACTTCCTTTAATTATAGAATAGAAAATGCACTCCTAGTAAGTGAACAAACCAAGATAAAGAAACGAGTGAAGCCAATAAAGGAAATTTGTAAATGATCTTATTTTATGATTATTATTTTTTTATAAACTGTGGGCTGCTGCAATTAAACTCTTCTGAGCAAGCTAATCAGAGTTAATACAATAGTAGCGGCAGAACAATTTTTTATTTTTATAAACTTCACAACAAAGAAAATCGAAAACGATGAGGGACAATAGTTCCGCGTGAAGAATAGAAAGATGATTTTTATTTTTTTTATTTTTTGCTACCTAAGGACTATGAACAACAGGAATTAAAATTAATACCTTGCTAGTTTCTTTATGGCTGTAGCTAATTTGATGTAGTCAACTTAGTGGGTTGGTTATATAGGCTGTAGTGAATTTTGTGGATTTGGGGAGGATATATGGGCCAGTTACGAGTTATGCAATTTTGGCTAGTGGGCTTGGTCTTATTCAGGTTTGTGGGCTTGTGGCTAGTGGGTTAGGGTTTGTAGGTGTGTAGATAGTTGGGCTAGGTCTATGGGGTTGATGTGTTAGGTTGGTGGGTGAATAGGTCGGTGGCTTGGGTCGGATATTGGCCTATTGTGTGTATGGAAGAAAAAGAGTTCTAAGAACGGTGGCAAGTGATGGAGAAATCGAAGAAATAATGGTTTTTACTGTAGGTTTATGCCATCGCTGCTAAGGCAGAGGAAATGTTTTATTTCAATATTTTTTAGCGACAATAAAAAATAGAAATTTCCTGCCAAATGTGAGTTGCTACTACCATAAAGGTTTATGATTTATATGGTGTTTTGTAGGTTTAGATGAGAAATTTTTGGCGGAAGATGTGGTCTTTATGCATGGTTTGTAATTTGAACACAAATTTGTTTGGCCCAAGGAAAATGACTTGCTCATATAATGAACAAGTAGATTGCAAAAGAAAGGGAATGAGAAAGAAAGAGAAGAGGAGGGACGAAACATAAGTTTTCACCCGATAATCAAAGTATATGTATTACAATTACTAAGCCCCTTTTATATAGGGCAATCAAGCTAAAATCAAAAGAACATTTAATAAATTAAAACCCTATTAAAGTATCAAAGGTAATCTAATCCAATCTAGACAAACATAATTTAAATCAAACGCTCCTTTAAAATCCTATCTAAATTCTATCATTATTCTTATATTTATTTCCCATCATAGTACTTCATCACTCTTAATATATCAATAAATATTAAGACATTATGAAATAAAAAAAGAGACATAATAAAAACTTGATGCCACTTGAGAGACCACTAGATTGGAATGAGGGTTACAAACAAAAAATAAAGACAAAGCATTAAAAAACACGATTTACGCATGCAATGAAGCATTTTGCAGTTTAATTTTGGTGGCATTGCCAAGAATTATGAGTCATCTTTAGCATAAATTTTAAGAATTTTTACTCCCACTATTCCATATTATGGGCACGAAATTAAGGTATTGCAATGGTATTTAAGGAAGGCTAAATTGCATGTGCTGAACTCAACTTTTCCCCTTATGTAATTTTGCCCCCTTCTTTTTTCTTGGAAAGTTTTGTCCCCTACCCTCTACATTCAGGTGAATTTAGTCCCTGCTTATAGTTAGTTGAAAATAACAGAAAATTTGATAGAAAAGATAAATTTGCCCTCAAATCTAAATATAGATAAAAATAAACATAGAAAGAATAAAAGAAATGACGTCATCTTCTCCATGCTACCCACCCCAACTTTACAAGAGTCCCATCCCCACTCCCCACCCCTGCAGTAAGACTAGAGGATTAATTAGATCGTGTAAGCTTTCAAGTTTTAGCCGCCGCCCCCTCCCCACCCCCACCCCCCACCCCGAGAGCTGCCTTTTGAAGCTTGTGGTCCAATCCTCGATATCTAATTTAGTGGTTTGCGCATTGTTGAGGACGCATCATGTGGGGCGCATTAGGCACATAATTTTTTATCATTGATAAGTGATCACAAGTTCTAGAATTGGTAAGGTGGAGATCTTTTTTACCAGTTTACCATCAATCAAAGCCTTTGAACTTCTAAGCTCTTTGGCGTGAATCATGATTCCATGACGAAAAACATCAGCAAATCTTCCAATATGTTGTCCATCGTCATGCCCTAATGGCAATCTGGGAAAAAATAGCTCAGAAAATGAAACATAAACATAGATCAGCAATATTAATGAGCATTCTATTTATTCAGTAGAAATTCATAAAAGAAGCAAATGAATATCTTGCTCGTGCTAAACCAGGCTTTATCAACCACGTCAAACCATACAAGTTAACAACATAAAATCTTAGAGCATGATGCCACATTTACTCTTAATTGTATAAAAATAAATCGATTATGTATCAAATACAAATACATAATAACTATACATTATTCTCAAAGAAATACATACATATGGATCAGTACATAAAAAGTTACATTCATATACATAAACTCCTTGTTGGGTGACAATCTTCTAAAGGGATAAGCTATCAAAGGACATTGAGATCCTAAAAGGTATTCCCACTGAAAAAAGGGCCAAGTGATTTTACATGACCAAGAGATTTTAATTGAATCTTGTAACAGGCTGCCACAGGATCTGAGTATAAAGTTGGATGTCATTCAAAAAAATCACGTTTCTCAATCTCCTTTTGAATTTTGACGAGAATAATTCATTTTCTAGATTTTTTGGCTTTGCCTCAAATACAATCAAAAATAAAAATAAGAACGATTATAATGCAGATGCAGGAAAAACGTTTAAAAACTCAACCCCAAGATTGCTAGATCTATAAAAGAATGCATCTTTCTATCTAAGTTGTGGTGGTAGCATGGTTGGGTAACTGAATAACTTAAGCTCCTACTTACTCCTGCACGTGTAAAGGTCACCTCTGCTTGAGACCATTTGCCTCCAAATCAGAATAGTTTATTTAATAACTAAACATGTAAAATTATAACAGACAAGAAATTTCGAAATTTACCAATTATTCAACTTCAGTTATATAATCAAATGTTATGGGTGAAGCCACAAGAAAATAAATATATGAATGTGATTCAGATGCAGGTTTAAATGAAATGGAAATCCTCATTCCCATTAGTTCAAATTTTGGAAAGGAAAAAGAGTACAACGAACATAAAGTTAAATACAAAATTTCTTGAAATACTTCCGACTTCTCTCAATACACAAAATTAGAAAGAGTTGAATACAAGGGTGCCCTTGTTTCATTCTCAAGTAAAATGTTAAGAGAAAGGACATTAACACCCAGAGAGAAAATTTATCAAGGTTTAACTGAAACCAGAACTAAAGAACCAGAGCTCTTGAAAAGATAAGAGTGATAACAGATAAGAGACTACCTTAGATCAAAGTTGTACGTGCATCTGAATGTTTGGAGGGAACTCAAAACTTTTCCCATCTTGAAATCACAAGGTCGTAAACTGCTTGAAGTAATATTTGCTGCCAGTGAGCAATTTCGACATGTCCACCTAAAAAATACAGATTTTAGCCATTTTATTATCAATACAATGCAAAAAAGCAAATAAGGAAAATTTTGCTCTGAAGTCTGAAGAAGTTACCTCAGGGGGCTATAACTAATGTGAATGAGCAGTCTCTCATTCCAATCATTCTCCACAAAGGAGGCTGCTTCTGCAACTCCTTTCACAGTCTGTAAGGGGAATTCTATCAAGCCTTACATTATTGGTTGACAGTTACTATGCAAGTCTAGACATTCACATTGACATAACAATGTGATAACAGTTGAGTTGACAGTTACCACTTACCATGCAAAATCATTGTGCCTCAAAGGTGCCGCCATTTTTTGACATTTTAAATAGAGATCACGTTTCTTCTTATTAAGTAGTACATATCATCGTAAACTAAACTTAACTGCCCCGGGTTGGGGGGGGGGGGGGGGGGGTTAAAACAAGAATCTCCAAAGCACAGATGCTCAAAATTGCTATTTTTTTTTTTAAATCAGTAGAGAACAAAACGAGGGTGAAACAAAATCTCCGGAGAATAAATTCTCAAAACTGCATTCTTCTTTTTGTGACTCGATAAAGAAAAAAGATGAAAAAATTAGCCAGTGTATGATGTCAAGGATACCTGGCAAAGGGTTATTGCTGAATTCTTGAAAGAGTTTTCATTGACCCATATATATATGCCAACAACCTTCATCCCACCCAGCAGCATTCTTGAGACCTGAAGTAACAAATTGGTATTGTTAGTTTAATACCTCTTTGAGTAGCATTTTGTAAAACAGCAATATAAATTAACATTCGATTATTCGAGTGTTTTTATTTGAAAAAATTATCTAAGTTTCCAAGAACATATAGGATGTCACAAATTGTATA